ATAATGTTAAGACTAAAACTTGATAAATAATCTTCTGAATTCTAAAATGAACTCATGTGAATGAGCTGAATCTGAACCAGTTTTCTTCATTTAACAAGGATTTTACAGGAAACTGTTCAGAGGGAACAATTAACTCTTTAACAGTGGTGGACAAAGTACTAAACTCTAGTAATTGAGTAAAAGTATTGATACTCAGGGTCAAATCTACTCAACTACAAGTAAAAGTTACTCCATCAAAAATCTACTCAAGTTAAAGTACTGAAGTACTTTTGAAAATACTTAAGTATTCAAAAGTACATGCATTTAAAATTACTCAAGTATTCATTCAAAAGGACAAATTACATTTTCTACTATCAACACATTGCCATATTATGTTGAGAGTGAGTTTACAGAACCTTGTAGCTCTCAGAAACCACCTGATGTATTGACACATACAAGCCCTGGCAAAAATGATGGAATCACTGACTCAGAGTATGATCATTAGTTGTATAATTTTGTAGAAAAAAAACTGATCACAGACATGACACAAAACTAAAGTCATTTGGGTGGCTGTGGCAGAGTGGTTAAGGGAGTCATCCTGGAACCGGAAAGTTACCGGTTCGACCTCCCGTCCAGCTGTCTCAGTTGTTGTGTCCTTGGGCAAGACACTTCACCCGTAATGCCTCTGATGTGTCCCATCAGTGTATGAATGTGATTGGCACTGATTAGTCTCATAGATGATTGTAAATGTTAGCTTTGTAGAGACCTAATAGAGTGCTGTGTGAATGGGTAAATGAGGGCACAGATTTTAGTGTGAAGAGTTTTGAGTATCCTGGTTGGGTAGGAAGGCGCTATACAAGTACAGACCATTTACCATTTAATTAGTATCCTCTGAGGCCGGTGATTCCATCATATTTGCCAGGGGTTGTAGAACTACTCTGCTAAAAATTCTACACCAACTGTAAAGACTTCAGCATAAAATGCAATAAAGTGAGTGGTGAGTTCTTAAATGCACAAATGTAGTTTATCAGTAGTGAACTCATAACACATTTAAAATGATAGGGACTATTTTTCAATCCTAAAATCTCAAACATAGAGCTGAGATACGATCATGGGTGTGCTGCTTTCTCTATTCTCTTCAATCGTCTCCATTGCTGGGTTCTGTCATTGTGTCCTTGGGCAAGACACTTCACCCGCCTTGCCTACTGATGGTGGTCAGAGGGTCCAGTGGTGCCGGTGCATGGCAGCCTCACTGTCAGTGTGCCCCAGTGCAGCTGTGGCTACAATGTAGCTTACCATCATCCGTGTGTGAATGTAAGTGTGAATGGGTGAATGTCTGTAAGTATAAAGTCCTTTGGGGTCCGTTGGGACTTGATAAAGCGCTCTATAAGTTCAGTCCATTTACCATTTGTTTGAAATGTAGGTGGGAGCTCTGCTCGTGATCGTTAATGATGATGTAATTCCAAATCTATCCTAGATGTGAGCTACAACCCTGATTGGTTCCCCATGAGTAACATAATATGGCCAATGCATTTCAAGAAAGAAAACAGCAACAGCTGATTACAAAGCTGTCCTGAACCAAAAGTAACAAGTAACTAAAAGCTTCCTAGAAATGTAGTGGAAACGTAAAATATTTGCCTTTGAAATGTAGTGGAGTGAAAGTCATAAGTAAAGACACTCAAAAAATGTACTTAATTACAGTACTCGAATAAATGTACTCCACTACTGTCCACCACTGAATATATTACATGGACAAGGCCATTTTATTTGCACGCAAAAACATTCTGGGTAAATGATGACGTGGACAGGTCCTCGGTGCGAGGCTGCTAGCGAGCTATATCCACCCTGAAGGTTAATCTTGGACAATATTTGACAATTGTCTCTTTTAAATGAAACCAGAGAGCGTTGGCAGAGAGGAGAAGGTAGAAATGACTCAGCCTGTAACAGAAAATATAGATGGAGGACAACAGAGCTGCTTCATGGAAGAAGAACCTCAGCTTAGCCTGTCAGCTTTAGCATTAGCCCAGACGCTATCACCATATATATGTATTAGCTCATTAACACATTCTCCTCTTGTCACTGAGGTCTTCCATCCACATGACAGAGAGGGGAACACAAAAATGACTCAGACTTCAACTGAAAATATAGATGGAGGACCAGTTTAGCTTGTTTGTCGCGCTAGAACCAAGCTAATACATATAAGGCAATATAGCATGATGGCTAGTGCGAAGGCTAACAGGCTAATGGTGCATTCACACCGAACGTGATTTCAGCATCAGGAGCATCAGGTTTACATGCAAAGTCTATGGTGGACGCGCTTCAATCAGCGTCGGGAAGTGCTGCGGCGTCTCAAGCGCGATTAGAGCAGCGCGATTTGAACGATTTGAACGATCTGAGCGTTCGACGCGCTGAGGCGCAAATCGCTGAAGTTAGAAAATCTGAACTTTTGCAGTTCGACGCGCCGCATCAACCAATCAGAGAGACTCCACTGTGTTACGTAGCGACATATTTCCCGACGGGACAGTTTACTGAATGATGTCCACTAACCTGAAACAGATGGAGAGGAGCTCTTTAGCTGAAATCGAGTGCCTGCAGTCGGTGTCCTGACAGGAGATATCCTCACCAATGCGTGACAGCGGCTCATCAGACTGGACATCTGGACAAAAATAGCCCTGAAAGCGAGCTGTGAGCCTCTACTCTGAAT